TGTGTGTGTCTGTGTGTGTGTCTGTGTCTGTGTCTGTGTGTCTGTGTAATCCCAGAAGCTCAGCCAGCGATCTGGGGGCGGGGCGGGCTTCTGATGGCCAAGTTCGCCCTGGCTTCTGGAGAGAGTCCCACTTTGGAGTTTAGTCTCAAGCCAGCCGAGCTCCAGCGGAGGCGGAGGCTGGGAGCCACGCAGACTGCAGCGTCTACTAAGATGGGACACCTGTGGCTCTTGGGGACCTGGTTTCTCTGGGGGAAGCTACTGTGTGCCGCGGATCCCCGCACAGGTATCGCAGTTGGAACAGTCAGCTTAGACATGCTGCTCCAGGGTCACAGGAGAGGCGGGACCACCTTGGCATTTGCTCTGCGCAGAGGCCATCCTGGGAACCTGGGGTTGAGAAGGAAGACTTGACAGCCAGAAACAGTACTGAGAGAGACTGGGACAGAAACGGGGACCTAGAGAAAGATGTGGGGAGAAATTGAGAGACTGCTTTTAGTTTATCAGTGTTGGGTTTGAAGTATGAAACTTCCTCACCTCGCTTCAAAGTGACACAATTGAAGAGACTTGGAAATGTGGCTGGTGACTGCTGAGGGGCATCAGGCACCACCTGAGTTCTCCCTCTCCTCACTTTTCTTGGTTCCCCACCCCACCCCCACTTCCTCTGCAGTGAGACCGCAGGACCTCTGGGAGGATAGGAATGTGTTGTGGCAGGTGCCAGTCACTTCCAGGGTTAGCTGCCTTGTGTTTTCTAAGTAATAGCCTGGAGAGGGCTGGAGAGAAAGTGATAAGATAAGAAATTGGAGTTGTCTGTGGAGATAAGGGGAGGATGAACTTGAGATAGGTGAGGCAGCAGTGTCTGGAGATAGGATCCAGCTCCCTCTGCTTGAATCTTCTCTTGGCTCTGCTGCCTGACGTTATGTGGGCACAGGAAATAGGAACATTTTTGCAGCTTTTGGCACACACAGGACGCAAACTAACTTGAAGTGCAGAGGCATTGAGTCTGGGGTGGGAGCCTCCTTTATGCCGAAGAGCTTTGACTGTCATAAGTCAGATCCACACTATACATGTTAAGACTGGAATGCACTGTTCAATAATAATTTCATGACCTTTTCTCAAATATCCACTTCAAACAATAATTTCTGTTGCTTCTCTTTGTGTCTACTTAAAATTTTCTACTCTGAGAAATGGTTTTTGCTTTTACTTAAATTACCAGATCTATACATTTTAAGGAGGAAAAAAAATTAAAAGTACTTCTAGTCACTGTGCATTGTATTTCTAAGCTCTTTTGAAGAATTGCTTGCAGTTCTTTAGAGAAGCAGATGACTTACCCTGTTTGTGTGGCAACTCCCTCTGGTAGAACCTTCTTCCTGTTTCTTGATGGTAGGTCCAGGTTGATCAATTCATATTTGCCCTTGAACTTGCTAAGAAGTGGATGCAGCCCAGGAATCCACTTCTAGAAACCTGTGTGGCCTCAGCAGCGTTAGTGAAATGCTTTCTTATAAGTCACCTAGGGCCCTGTGTTCTGACATTCTGTACTGTCTCAGCTAAACTTTGGGGAAGTTAGTGCTGATGTGCCCTTCTGTATGTTCTGGAGCTAACCCAGTTTAAGGAGTAGATTAGTGTGACCTTTCTACTAAACACTCAGCATCCTTAAAACACCTGACAGATTCTGTAAATTACCTTTCCTAAAGTCTCAGAAAGCAGTTCTTTCTTAAAGCACAGAGTTCCTCTTTGTACCCTCTAGCACTGCACTTGTGTTCTTTTATAACAATCTGTATCTCCATGCAAGTATTGTCTGTGCTGTGTAAGGTGCTGTGAATAGTTATAGATCTGTAGTTATCAGATCATGAGGTAAAATGAAGTGTTAACTGAGTGTGCTATAATATGGTAGATAAAAATGATGAAAATGGCTTTGTGTTATTCTTGCTCTTTGTAGACCCCAGAAAGTTCTTTACACAAGACCAGTAAGTTATTGTATGTTCAAGGCATTCGTTACAAGTCACATCTTAATGAGATTGTAAGAACATAGTGCTTGAAATGAAGAACTTGATGAGTTTACCATTACAATATTTCTGTATCTTTCAGATGCAGAAATTCCCAGAGTCACAGAAGTTCTGCCTAAATATGGCAGCATCAATGGAGCAACAAGGCTGACTGTCAAAGGAAAAGGTATGGTTGCTTTGTCTGTGTCCATATGCGAGCACCAGGATTAAAGCCTTTTATTTGTTTAAATTTTTGTGGGCAAGTACTCTATTCCTAAGCTACAGCCCCAGCTACATTTTCAGTTTTATGGTTAAAATAACCTGCGAAACAAAATACACTGGCACAGTCTCATGACTTGGTCAAGGGAGTTGAATTCTGCCTCTTTGATAGCTAACAAAATTCCCCACATTCTTCTGGACTTGATAACTTGAATGGTACCTACAATGACTTAACACTGATATTTGGATTTAATGATTGAAGTGAAAGGAACAGCTATAACTCAACTCTGCAGTTATTTGCCTTATTCTGTAGAAATATGGTAATTTTACTTACTCTTAGTTGAATGAAACGTGTTGGGGTGGAGAGATGGAATAATGGTAAGAAGGTGTAATAGAGAAAAGATGTTAATGAAAGATGAAAGATGACAGAAAGAAAACGGGCTCCCTCTGCTGCCACTAACCCCCTATTCACATGCTTTATCAAGACATGAGTTACAGATGTTGCTTTCTCCTTGTCTGGTCTCAGGATGAAAGTACCGAAGGCAACCAATAGATACATTTAATAGCAACCCTTTCTAGGATTAAAGAAAACTATATGGCTTTGTTAAGCATTAGGCCTTTGTAATATACATGATAACAGTATTCAGATAGTTATTAATTTGAAGGACATGAAAAAAAAATTTTTAGAAACAACAAAATCTTATATATGGTCTATTTAAAAAATTATTATTTTTATTTTGTGTGTATTGGGTTGTGTGCCTGCATGTGTGTAAGTGCACTCGTGTCGTGTAATGCCCCCGGGAGATCAGAAGAGGTTGTTGGATCCCCTGGGTGCTAGGAATAGAACCTGGGTCCTCTGTGAGAGCATCCAGTACTCTTAACTGCTGAGCCATCTCTCCAGTCCTAATATTTGGTCTTTAAAATAGCAAATGAAAAGTTTTGGGAGTCAGAAGTTCGCAAATGGATACTGTTTATTCTGTCATATATATTAAAATGTAATTTAGTATTCCCAATATTTCTGTAAAATTAAGATCCAGTCTCTCAGTGATATTCTTTCTTTTGAGACAGGGTTTCCCTGTAGCCCAGCTGCCAGCTATCATGTAGACCAGGTTGGCCTCAATCTCACAGAGATTCACCTGACTCTGCCTCTCAAGTACTGGGATTGAAGGCCTGGGCTTCTCAGTGGTATTCTTAAAACAGCTCATGCTCTCGAATTATGAGCAAATACCCTTAAGTGCCCCCCTCTTAATAGAGATTTAGGAGTGCAAATGTTACTAGTTAAAGATTATTCCAGAGACATCTTAGCATTCTCTCTTTTATATTATAAAATGCTGTGGAAAAAATGTATATAGAAGCTACTGGGTTTTAAACAGAAATTGAAAGGGCATGAGAGAAATGTCCAGATAAATAAAAAACAAACAGGAAATTTCTATTGTTCCCAAATTGAACTTCTGATGGAGGAACCACAGCTACAGTTTAGGGACACAGACGCAGATCATCACTAGTTAGGAAAAACACAGCATTCATTTTCCAAAGCATCTTAGAAGGGCATCCTTGTTACTACAGCTGTAATCTTTGTCCTTTTGTGAACTCCTCAGGCAATAAGGCTCAGAATTCTCAGCACAAATCATAAAGCAGTATATCTTTACTTCCCCTCCATTCCTAGTTTCTGAATACTTTTAGCAGAGGTTTATAGATAATAGAATCCTAATTGAATTGTGAACACTTGCATTTTTGCCTTGATTTGTTTTCCTTCTCTCTGCTTTAACTACACAATTGTAGGTGACTAAAAATGTGTTAATATATTATTTTTTCAGGCTGAGTCTAAATACTGTTTTTACTGCTTTAGAGAAGCAGAATTTGGCATGGTGGTTATCAGGGGGCTCTTAGTCAAAGTACACAAAGTTTCAGTTATGAACAATGAATAAGTCCTAGAAATCTATTGTGAATCATAGTGTCTTATTGTTGACAATGTGAATTGTATACTTAAATTTTTCTTAAGAAAGAAGCTCATATGTTAAATAGTTTTGCTCCAATATTTTTGAAATATTTGAAAGGGCAGGGGGGATCTGTTAGAGATGATGGATATGTTTGTAGAATTGCTTGTCATGATTGTTTTATGGGTTTACTTTTATCTCTAAGCTAATTAAGTTGCATACAGTATATTAATTGTATGTGGCTTTTGCACACTAATCATACTTTAATTATCTACTTTTAAGTAAATAAGTAAATTTAATATGCATACTTGATGTCCATGATGTGTGTGGGATATGTATGAATCAACAATAATGAAGTTATAAAACACCGAAGCTCTACTTTTTAGATTGATTGATTTTTATTTTATGTGTATGTGTGTTTTGCCTGTGTGTATGTAAGTGCATCATGTGACTGTAAGCCCATGGAGGCCAGATCCCCTGGAACTGGAGTTGCAGATGGCTGATAGCTGCCACATGGGTGCTGGGTCCTCTGGAGGAGCAGCCAGTGCTCTTAACCACTGGGCCATCTCTCAACCCTGCACATCAAAGCTCAAGTAAATACATTAATAAATGTTTTATTTTTATAAAAGCCATGATATTATATTATAGAAAGTACTGATTTGGAAGTTGAGTTCTTTGAGATCTACTTACTAGAAAATTGACCACTACATTTCATTGTATCTAAATGACTCTTGGCTATTTAAAGGCAAAAGTTTGCTGTGGATTATTTTAATCAGAAAGCTGTGGTTGGGATTGTATAGGTCTGTGGTGGAGTACTTGACCAGCATTCTTAAAACCCTGGGTTCCACCCACAGTACTGAAGGAAAAAAGAACAGAAGAAAAAGAAAGGTTGTATTTAAAGAGCCAAAGATACATGATATTATAATTATCATGCCAACAAAGAAATGTTCTGAGCAATGATAATTAGAAACAACTGTCTCTTCTTCCAAGATGACTAGTTTGATGAAGGGGATTGGTGTTTTGGGAGTTCATTCATGACTATATTGATTTAATTGCTTTAAAACTATACTTGTATTATGCAATTGTCTTCCAAGCTAGCGATCATGTCCCATTTTTTAAAGCTAGTAAGATGAGAGGAGTTATTCCATTTTTCTTCCTTTTCTGTTTCTCTATAACAATACCTGGCCACACATTTGTGTTGAAGTGTTTAGCTACACACATTTTTTTTAACTTTTAAAAAACTTTATTGAGAATTTCATACATGCATATAAGGTATTTTGATCAAATCCACACCCACTCCCTCCCCTCCAACATCTCCTATATTTCCCCATCACTTTTTTCTGACAGCTTCATGTTCTTTCTCCTTTCTTTCTTTCTTTCTTTCTTTCTTTCTTTCTTTCTTTCTTTCTTTCTTTTTTCTTTCTTTCCTTTTTCTTTCTTTCTAATGGGGCTTTTTGCTGCTCTAACATTCCCCCATCTAAAGAGGTAACCCTAAAATATTTTAGGGATTAGATAAGAGCTCTCAAATAGCTACACACATTTTATATTATGGAAAGGAAATGGACTTTCATCCTAACTGGCTTTTAATCCTACCTTTGCCACTGGACTTTATGGGCCTGGAGCAACTTATTCTGTGATCCTTGGCTTTCTCATCAGCAAAATGAACTATTAATTTCCATTTCTTGGGACTCTTCTGACTGTTGAGCAGGGTAACATATCTAAGATACCAGTTCCATGGTCTACACACTACACATTGGGCGCCTTTGTTTTTGTTATTCTGTTCTTGTAGACTGATTTCATTCTTCCAACCATCGCTCTAGAGCTTCCCTTCCCATTGTTTTGAATGTTACATTTAAGATTTTAATTACTTTCTACACTCTCAAACCAGTTTTTTTTTAAATTATAGAAACCAAAAGAGCCTGACTTGTACATGACAACAGCCAGCTCAAACAACACTGACATTTTTTTCCCATGATAGCAGCTTGGGCGTCACTGTTGGATTGCTGCTATCAGGAGACCCAGGTCTGTGTGCCTGGCAATTGCTGTCTCCAGTTTTTCTTCAAAAGGAAAAAGAAAAAAAAAACATCAATATGTCAGGAATTTTTATCCGAAGCCTCATCCTTTACTGTTTCCAAGGCACACCCAACTCTTCCTGTAATCTTTGTGCTTTGGAAAACACCCAAAGGTATCAGCTTTTTACCTAATTATTTGCTTAGAATTATAAATTAAAATTCTTTCTGAAAATGATTCATTCTCTTTTTTTTCTTCCTTGAGATTAGCTAAACATTAGACATATTTCTACATATGTATTTGAAAGGCAAAATGTATAATTATAGTGTGACAAATCTTGCTGCTTTTCTTCAGCTTTTCCCATTGATTTTACATGGACATCTTCACATATTTATGTTTGGTATTACAGCTACTTTGAAACTAAAACCAATATCATCTCTTCTTAGTATTATTTTTGAAGATTTTACTTGTCTTAAGAATGCCAAAATGTAAAAATGCATTAACCTATTATTGGTGTGGCATGTCCCTAATATAAAAATAAATACACGTATCACATCCTGCTCCACAAGTAAAAGTTTCCATTTTTTAGATTCTAGCAGCCCTCCTGTGTGTTACAAACTCAATGTGAACTCCAAAGATAAGCACAAATTGGCAAAAGAAAAGAGGAGGGTTTACAAGTGCTTGCTTTGAGGTTTTCATGCAATTTTTTTTTACAATTCCATTTTATTAGTAACATTTTTCTAGTTTCAAAACTGCAAATTACATGCCAATATCCTTCACATTCAAAAAATTTTAATATTTTATTTATTGTTTTTATTTTATGTGTATGAGTATACTGATTGCATATGCACCCATGTCATGCAATGCCCATGGAGGTCAGAAGACAGCATAGGATTCCCTGGAACTAGGAAGTTGTTAGCTGCCATGTGGGTCCTGGGAATTGAACCCGGGTCCTCTGCAAGAGTATCCAGTGATCTTAACCTCTGAGCCATCTCTCCAGCCCTCAAATGCAAAAATTATA